AAAAAAAATAAAAAATAAAAAAACAAAACAAAAATAAGTTGTTGAGGGGTTGGGGCACTGGGGGAGGGATAACAATAGGAGAAATACCTGATGTAGATGATGGGTTGATGGGTGCAGCAAACCACCATGGCAGGTGTATACCTATGTAACAAACGTGCACGTTCTGCACATGTATCTCAGAACTTAAAGTATAATAATAATAATATATAAATAAAATTAAAAAAATTTTTTTAAAGTTGTGCACTTTAGGTTAAGTTACATTTCAATTTTTAAAAAGAATCCAAATTGCCTTGTGTATCCCTGATGAGCAGGTAGAGAATAGATTTGGAGCTATGCAGTGTGTTTCCTGGAAAAATAAAGCAGATTTTTTTAAAATCCAGAGTTTTCTCTGGGAACCTATGACCAGATGGCTCTTATAAATAATGCATCAAAATATGGTTAGGACTAGCAGAATTCATGATGTGTGATAAAAAGAAAACAACCAATGATCACATAGTTTACTCTTTTTTGACTGTCATTGCAATTTTCTGGAAGAGTCAGGATTAGTAATAAATGGTCATGCAGCAAGAATGGCACAAGTCCTGCAGCACGAGGTTACTTGCTGGCTGTGAAACCTTCAATAACTTTCAGGCTTTCTGGGCATTGATTGCTTCCTCTGCTAAATGGAAAAATATTTTACCTGCTCAAAAATAGAGGAAAGGATCAAGTGATCTCTTAAGGCTCTTTCTAGCTTCTAAAATCTTTGGCTTACGAAAATTGGAACTGTAAAGAATCAACTGTGAGCCAGGCTCAGTGGCTCATGCCTGTAATCCTAGCACTTTGGGAGGCCGAGGCAGGTGGATCACCAGAGGTCAGGAGTTCAAGACCAACCTGGTCAACATGGTGAAACCCCATCTCTACTAAAAATACAAAAATTAGCCAGGTGTGGTGACATGCACTGTAATCCCAGCTACTTGGGAGACTGAGGCAGGAGAATCGCTTGAACCCGGGAGGAGGAGGCTACAGTGAGACAAGATCCTGCCACTGCACTCCAGCCTGGGCAACAGAGACCCTGTCTCAAAAAAAAAAACAAAAAAATCTGTAATAATAAAATCTGTAAAAATCTGTAATAGGCAACAATGTAGGTGGCCACATCAAATAGAGATGCAGGCAGAAAACACCTTTTCAGATACAGTGAGCTACCTGAGAGTTTACCTAATAATACTTTCAAAAAAAGATAAGGGAACAGTTTTAGACCCCAATGAAGTAAAGCATTAATTATGTGGTGAGTTTGTCTCTTATGAGTTCACATTTGCAGAGACTAAATATGCAGAAAGTGGTATTTTGTAAAATATCTGAGCAGAAAAAAAAATGTATGTATATGAGTAGAGAAAGAGTACTAGTCTAAGTTTGGCTCAGAATCTCACAGCTAGGTGGCTGAGTGAGGTGGCTCACTCCTGTAATCCCAGCACTGTGGGAGGCCGAGGCGGGCAGATCACTTGAGCCCAGGAGTTCCAGATCAGTTTGGCCAGCATGGTCAAATCCCGTATCTTCTAAAAATATAAAAATTATCCAGGTATGGTGTGGCATCCTCCTGTAGTCCCAGCTACTTGGGGGGCTGAGGCGGGAGGATCACTTGAACCCTGGAGGCAGAGGTTGGAGCCGAGGTCACACAACAATACTCCAGCCTGAGCAACAGAATGAGACTGTCTAAAAACAACAACAACAACAACAACAACAAAAACCTCACAGCTAGGAGAAACTGCATGGCATCGTCTCTGCTTTCAACACTAGTAAGTAAGTGTCATTGCTTCATCTCAATTTTTTTTTTTTTTTTTGAGACCGAGTCTTACTCTGTTGCCCAGGCTGGAGTGCGGTGGCATGAACTTGGCTCACTGCAATCTCTGCCTCCCGGGTTCAAGCAGTTCCTCTGCCTCAGCCTCCTGAACAGCCCGGATTGCAGGCACACGCCACCACGCCCGGCTACTTTTGTATTTTTAGTAGAGACCAGGTTTCACCATCATGGTCAGACTGGTCTTGAACTCCTGACCTCACGATCCACCTGAGTTGGCCTCCCAAAGTGCTGGGATTACTGGGCAGCATCTCTGCTTCCAACACTAGTAAGCAAGTGTCAACTTTTGATCTCTGTTTGTCTAAAGAGGCCAGCAAGTCTCCATAAGGCTAAATCACTTGCCCATGGTCACACAATTGGGAGAAGCACAGAGTGGAGAAAAAAACAGTTCTCAGGCTTCCAGCTACTTGTGTCCCCCACTGCACCATTCTGCCCCTTCTGATTCCTTTTGGATTGACTGACTTGAACTCCATGGCCCTCCACTGTGCTTTGTTTGAAAAGCAATTGAGAAAATGGGAAACTGGTGGAACTGGGAGTCAGAGGACCTGAGCCCCTCTACTGATTAGTGACAGTGACCTTGGAAAATCATTTAACTTCTCTCAGACTCAAATTCCACATCTGAAAATAGTACCTCCCGCTGTCACTGAAGTAGAGATAAATTGAAGTAATTGATGGGAAGTGTTTAGTAAATGGTAAACTAAACTCTCGCTATTTAAATGGAGAAATTCGACCGGGGCAGTTGCTCATGCCTGTAATTCTAGCACTTTGGAAGGCTGAGGTGGGAGGATGAGCCCAGGAGTTCCAGACCCGCCTGGGCGGTGTACCAAGACCCTGTCTCTATTATTTTAAAAATAGATAATAGAAGATGAAATAGAGAAATTTGTGTCTACTTAGTGAATTAATGAATTAGTGATTAGAAAACAATGATACAAAAAAAATTTTTAATAAAAAATGAAAATAGAAAGCAGAAAAGAAAACAACAATGCAAGATAAAAATGCTCAATGGATACATGGTAACAGCGGGGCTGCTGTTAGCACACATAAAATAACCAATAATCCTGTAATAGAAATGTCCTTTGTTTATTTATTACAACAATCTAGCATAATATAATAACTTTTAATGTCTCTCAGGAACACTCCCTAATGTGTAGATGGTCATTGTAAAAAGAACCTTTATACAAGGACAGATGTCTCTATCTCCCTCCATATTTTGCATTATCAATCTTTTTACATTTGTGAACCCAAATGGGAACAACATGGTGTCCCATTGTTATTTAAATTTGGATAATTCCTTTATTCCTAGGAATGGTAAATGCTTCCCACTGCTGCTTTTCTCCGGGTGCCTGAACATTCCTGTTTAGCCCTCAGCCCAGCCTACCTGTCTGTAAGTAGTTCATTTTCCTGATTACAAGTGAAGCTTAACATCTTTTCAGCCTTTTATTGGAAGTGTAAATCGATTAAGCTTTTTGGAAGGCTAATGGACAGTACCAAGTTAAAAAAAATATTTTTGAGGGGGTGTCAGCCAGGCTGGAGTGCAGTTGCACAATGTCGGCCCATTACAGCCAACAGCTCTGCATGGCCCCCCAGGTTCAAACAATTCTCATGCCTCAGCCTCCCAACTAGCTGGAATTACAAGTGGGCGCCACCATGCCCAGCTAATTTTTGTGGTTTTTAGTAGAGACTGATTTTACTGTGCTGGCCAAGCTGGTCTCAAACTCCTGGGCTAAAACAATCCACACTTGTTGGCCTCCCAACGTGCTGGGATAACAGGTGTGAGCCACCGTGCCTGACGCCACAGTTGCGGGAGAAAAAAAAAAACTTTTTTCTTAGATTTTTCAGAGTTGTAAGATGAGTCAGTCCTGTTGAATTGATCTCATAACTATCACTGAAGTGAAAAGGAAAAAATGTAGTCAAGAATCAAAATCATCTAAAATATCTGTGTGTGTGTATGTGTGTGTGTGTGTGTGTGTGTGTGTGTGTGTATGTTTTTAAGATAGGGTCTCATGCTGTTGCCCAGGCTGGAGTGCAGTGGCTCAATCTCAGCTCACTACCGCCTGAGCCTCCCCAGGCCTAGGTGATCCTCCCACCTCAGTCTCCCTGGTAGCTGGGAGACTGTACCACCATGTACCACCATGCCAGGCTAATTTTTCTATTTTTTGTAGAGACAGAGTTTTGCCATGTTGCCCAAGCTAAAAAATCTGGATATTTAATATCATGTAGAAATTGATTTTTCTTTCACTTTTTGTCCAGATATCAAATGGAGACAGATTGAAGTTCACCTTTCATGTCACTGGTTTTAATTCACTTAAATAATTGTTGTGTCTTTTATTAATATTTTCAATTGAGCAGAGTCCATTTCAATAAGAAAGGCTCTCCTTTTTGGCACTGGCTTTTTTTCCTTGATCACAAAACTATTACATGCTTAATGTGAAAAAAAGGAAAAACATTGAAAGCTACTAAGGAAAAAAAAGCAATCCCATCATCAAAAGTAAATACTGTTCACATTTTTTAGATGTTTTTCCTTTTGCATATAGGTGTTTAAGGAATTGGGGTGATACTGTGCATAGAGTTTTGTGTCTTTGTTTTTTCAATTGACATTTTATTGTAAGCATTTCTGCATATCATCATAGATTCTTTAAAAATGTTTATTGTGGCATGATGATATTCCAAAGTATGGATATACTATAATTTATCCCTTTATTATAGGAAACTTTGCTTATTTTCTTTTTTTCTTCTTTCTTTCTTTATTTTCTTTTTACTATTATACTTAGCTCTGTGAAGAACATTCATGTATATAATTCTTTGCTTCCATCTTTAATTATGCCCCTAGGATATATTCCAAGGAATGGAACTATAGGATTGTGTAGGTTATTTTGCACTTCTGCCCCCACCCCTACCGCATTCTCTGCCTTTCTTCATTCTGAAGAATTGCATCTCCAGCATTCCTTGACCCTTCACTTGCTTGGGATCTAGTCAGGGGTGGCACTAGTAAGAGATGATATATGCTAGAAGAGAGAGAAGTCAGGGTATTTCCTCCTTACTGTCTTCCTGCTTTGAGCCAGATAGCTGCTTACCCCTCCCCACCCCCAACCTGGCCTCCTTTCTTGGGGGTCCCTCCTCCACCATTCCTCGCTCTTACTGGATTCTGTGAGATTATGTCCTCCCTCTGTTCCTTTATCCCTAGAATGGTAACTCTTTCCACTCTTGCTTTCCTCTCGGCGCCTGAACATCCCTGTTTACCCCTTAGCCCAGCCTACCTGTCTGTAAATAGTTCTTTCATTGCAGTCTCTTCATTGCCAGGCACAGTGGCTCATGCCTGTAATCCCAGCACTTTGGGAGACCAAGGCAGGCTGATAACTTGAGGTCAGGAGTTTGAGACCAGCCTGACCAGCATGGTGAAACCTCCCTCTCTGCTAAAAATACAAAAATTATCCCTGGCATGGTGGCAGGTGCCTGTAATCCCAGCTACNAAAAAAAAAAAAAAAAAAAAAATTGGAGTCTGCAAGCCTTTAGATATGTTCTTGGGGCTCTGTGACTTCTCAAATTTAAGAAATACTGAACCAGGCTCCATGGCTTAATAAAGAAAGACATTGATCAGGTCCCACTCACAGTCAATGGAAGCTTCTATGACTAGATTTGTAGCACAAGCTTGTACCGTCTTTCTTATCTATAAGGAGCGGACTTCTTGTTTCCGGGCCTTCCCAAATCATCTGTTCACTTCTCTCCAGGAAAGGGCTGCCATTAGCAGTGTGGTTAACATTTAACTAATAATACTGATGTATGTTGGTTTAGCCCAGATGCTGGCAGCTTTTAATTCTCTAAACTCCTGGCCTGAATACTGGTCATGTTTCCTCAGGCTAAAAGCCAGCAAAAAGAATCACCTGGCCAAACATCCCCATTCAGCCTGCTTGCCTTAGAATGGCCTCCCAGGGGAGCTCTCTGGGCAAACAAAACTGTTGACCTAGTTTGAAGGCCTGGAAAATTATCATGTGAGTCACTGGGACAACAGAGCAAAGTGCCAGGTCCCTGAGAAACTGTAAGCACAGGTTTCCGATGTCATCTGTGTCCTCATAGGCCGAGAGTAGGAGTCCCACGGCGGCCTGCCACTTTTCACCCAGCTGCTCCTCCAAGTGGTTTCCAAGCCCCTTGGCGCTGTGTATGGTGCCTCAGGGGCCCATTCATGTTTTCCTCCGAGAAGGCTCTGTAAACAGCAACTCAGAGAGTGACAGCTCAGTTGTAGGAAACCAAAACAAAACCAGATACTTAGAGGAAGTCCTGTGGTGTTGTTTGGAGCAAGGCCACAAGCTCTCTCTGGGAAGCAAGTGCTGAAGCAGCTACAAAAAGTTTCAAACTGAAGACCAGGAATCCAGAGGCAGTATTTTAAAATAATACTCACATAAGCATGGCAGGGCCTTGCAAAAGAGCACCTAGATATTACTTAAGGAGTGTTTTATAATGTTCTGAAGATGCTACTTCCTAAATTACACAAAGAGCTAGAGAAACTTAGCCAGAAAAGCAATGTGGCTAAAACTGTTGTTACATTTAGATGGGTTGGACAGTTTGTAGCCCAGATGTCAGAAAGAGTGCTAAACCTCCGTGGGTCCCTCATATAACTTCCCTGGGCATCAAGGACTCCTCGAGGGGGAGCATCAAAGCAGGGGCTTCTAATATTCAGGATAGCATGAGGGCAGGAGTACATGTTCACAGGACTAGGTGTGGAGAAAGTTTATCATGGGTTTTTTGTTTTGTTTTTTTTTTTTTTTGGATAACACTTGGTTTTTTCAACACATATACTAGAGTCTTCATCATCAGGAGGATGTGGATGTTTAACAAGTCATTAGGCTCAGGATTATTTATCTATTTATTTTTTGAGAGTGAGTCTATCACCCAGGCTGGAGTGCAATGGCATCATCTCGGATCACTGCAACCTCCGCGTCCCAGGTTCAAGCAATTCTTCTGCCTCAGCCTCCCGAGTAGCTGGGATTACAGGCACCTGCCATCATGTCCGGCTAATTTTTGTATTTTTAGTAGAGACAGGGTTTCACCATGTTGGCCAGGCTGGTCTTGAACTCCTGACCTCAAGTGATCCGCCCACCTCAGCCTCCCAAAGTGCTGGGATTACAGGTGTGAGCCATAAACTTTTAAAATACATTTTAAAATACATTCTTGATAGATACTGCCAAATTTTATTGCAGAAAGGTCATATCTGGTGGTTTTTTTTTTTGAGTTTACACTCCTTCTAGTAGAGTATGAAAGCCTGATGAGATAGGATCCTGAGGTTACAATCGATTTTTGAAGGTACTCAGTTTCCTGTTTGTTATTTAGTGCCTTCCCCTCTGGTGTCACTCATACACAGAAGGTTCTGTGTAGACTATCTAAAGAAAAGTCATTCATAACACAGGTGAAAATACTGAAGTAAGCAATTGTATATCATTTGCAAACCTGAAATTCTAAGTGCAAGAAGAGCCCCTGGATTGTGTTGTGGAAACAACTCTTGATTGATGCATAGGGAAGAACACATTCTGGCTGGGCACACAAATAGTGTGGTGCGGTTTGGGAATGTCAGCTCACATGCAGGTCACAGCTAAACATTAACACAGGAAACCAACGGGGATGCAGTGCTGTTACCCTTAGGGTCTTACTACTCATGCTGTGGAAGAATTCCTACCTCATCTTCCTAGTCTTGACTTTAAGACAACAGCTTTTAGGTAGATGAATTATAAGAAGGACAAAGAAGCCACAAAGACCTTCCCTTACTTCTTCGCAAATAGGAGGTAACCACTGGCATTTTAATCAATGATTACTAGAACGGGGCTGAGATTTCAGCTAAGTGATTCCCGTGTTTATACCAGAGCTGACTGTAACACAGGTGGACACACTGTGCTTTACCATTTCCTTGCAAAATAATGAGACACCTAGTGGGCACAACATGAAAACACCGTCATGGGAGTTGGTGAATTCAGTCAATACCCAGGTAAATAATATTTAATAACTGCCCATTGTTTAATTCTACGAAAGTAGTTTGGACCAGGCGTGGGGGCTCATGCCTGCTATCCCAGCACTTTGGGAGGCTTAGGCTGGCGGATTGCCTGAGCTCAGGAGTTAGAAACCAGCCTGGGCAACATGACGAAACCCTGTCTCCACAAAAAATACAAAAATTAGTTTGGTGTGGTGACATACGTGCGTGCACCTGTATTTCCAACTACCTGGGAGGCTGAGGTGGGAGGATCACCTGAGCCTGGGGAGGTCGAAGCTGCAGTGAGCCTAGATCACGCCACTGCACTTCAGTCTGGGTGACAGGGCAAAACCTAATCTTCTTAGAGAAATACCCAGATCCAGAAATCAGACCAACCATTGACTCATACTGGATAATTAAAATATATT